CTTTTAGTTCCCATTGCTTTAGGTTTTCATTCAGTGTGTTCTATCTTGTTTTCCTTAGGCAGAGAGTTTACTTTATATCTGAAAATGTAATCAGAGCACAGATATTTTTTAAACCTCTCAAGAAAAAAAAAAAAAAAGCTCTTTATATTCAAGTGCTTCTGCTTTCTTTATCTATAGACAGTTGATACTTGTAAAGGAGACAGTAAGTCAAGGGAGAACACTCAATTCTGTTGAAAACCCTTTCACTGCTTCTCGAACCTCAGAGCGTTACACAGTCTCACTTTTGAGGTGTTCAAGCCTTAGTGAGTAACTGGCAGATGTCCAACATTTCCAAAAATCAAGCCAGATTTGCACCTGTGTCTGTTTATCCAGCCCTAAAGTATCATTGATGCTGCCAATTCATCAATATTGAGAGCTTTGACATCCAGAAAGGAAAAGGGCATTGCAGTTAGACTATATTACATTTCAATGTCTATATGATTGTTTTCTAAGTGTTATGCCACAGGAAATTCTTTTCCTGTGAGAAAACATTAGGGGTCTTTTTGTACTTGCACATGGCCAGTTTTCATCCAAACTGTGACTTTTGAGGTGAATGCTTTTTCAACATATTTCTTCATAATTCATTTTCATGTCAGATATTTCAGAGGTAAAGGGAATAAGCCCCCTCAGATAGTATATTTTCACTTTGCTGCCAGATGAGTGTAATGAGCATTTCTGGACACAGTATGCACCATGTAACAAAATAATAAGTAATTTCTTTCTCTCTATATGTGAGGCATACTCACGTTAGTGTTATTTTTCTAAAGAAATGGTATTTTCTCACATTATCTTGTCACGAATGACATTGCTATGACCTCTGCTATTCTCACAAAGAGGTTATTACAGGCACTATACATCTAGCTTAGCAAAAAAAGGGGGGGGAGGGGGACATCCATAGGGACCAGACCTGCTTACCTCTGTATGATGTACTAAACAACCCTCCTGCTACTCAGGAGCTTTGAGATGAGGAATTTGTTTTATATGGATCATCACATCAAGTTGTTATTTCCTGGGACTGAATATTGTCCCACTTCCTTTCTGAACAGATCATACTGAGTCAGCACTTTATGCACTATCTAATGAATTTTGCATGTCACCTGAGGTTTTTGTTGGAGACCTGAACTTGTAATACTCCTGGTCAGGAGCAGAGACTTCCATCACTTGTGTAGACAGAACAGTTTCACTGCTTCCCAGATGAGTAAGTTGTTGAAGGGACATTCATGTGACAATCTTTAGCTATAAAATTATACTTTCCTATCCAAAGTCGCATGCTTCTTGTACCTAAAATCCATGGGAAGCCAAATATGTCCATTTGAGCTGCTTTGTAACAATCTCTTAAAGGTATGAAGCTTTAGTGTTGATCCTGGTGCTTCTGCTGATCAGTCTTATGGCCCAGCTGTGTGTGGATGTGCAGGAGGCCTGACCCAAAGCCCAGTGAAGATTATTTGTTATTATTTCTGTTGAGTTATTTGCAGCCTAGCTCAGTGGGCTATCGGTCCAGTACGAAGTTGTATTTTATGGATCATAGGTAAAGTTACCCATAAAAAAGAGTCAGTGCCAAAAACTTTTTTTCCCCCCTGAAAAAGTGACTCTTAATGTGGTTCTTAGCTGACTAAGAAACAAGACTATCAGGAAGGCTTTGCGGCATGTGGATCCTAATTGACAGAATATACTTGTGACTGCATTTAATCATGGTTGCTGATTGGAGTAATTTAATCAAGCCTTACTGGTGAGTATCAGTAGTTAAGATAGATTGTCCTAGCAGAGAGGACCTCAGAGGAATGACTGAGGCCAGGAGTCTGCAGGCTGCAAAAGAGGTGACTTTTCAGGGATGTGGTGCAGGTTTCTTGGCTCGTGAGCAGCATGGAGAGGCAGAGCTAGTGGTCATCTGCTCAGTGTGTCTTTCAGGACAAGAACATTAAGTGAAGGATTAGTAGCATCCAGATTCAGAGCAAATTTAGATGGTTCTCCATAGACCATGTAGTAGACTTGTGAAATTTTTTGCTAAAAGTTGTTGTGGATGCCAGAAGTTTATTTGGGCTCAAGAAAAGACTGGAATACCTCAAAGCCCATGAACAATCCAAATACATATAAACCATTTCCTACCCAGAAAATTCCCTGAGCTGAAAACAGTTGCGAGAAGGGAGAGTACTGAGAAGGAAGTATCATGTGAGTTTGTCCTGTTTTCCCCCGCTTACACCACTGTCAGAGTCAGGATACTGGACTCAGGGGCCTTTGATCCAACCCAATACGTATGAGATTTTGGCGGGCTGCCCCAGCAGGGAGACTTGCAGTAGCCCCTCGAGATCCTCGAGGCAGGGCTGTCTGACACGGCTGCCTACCTTGCTGTGCACCGTTTCCTCCTCTGCCTTTTTTATGCAGTGTGCACTTTCTCCCAAATGTTTGCATGAAATATCTATTAAATTACGGATAAATGCCTTCCTTTTAATTTTAATAAAATGCTGTTGGTAAACATGTTTTTTGAAAACTAGGGGACAATAGTCAGTCTTAAACTCTTCTTAGTTGTGGTGAGAAGGGAGAAGTAAATCCTTGCTTTAACATTTTGAAAGCTTCTGATGCCATCTGCTGGGTTCAGTGTGACACAACACATTAGAGCAAGATTGGTAGCGCTGGTTGAAAAGAGCATGAAGAGTTGCATTGATCCAGGTTTGTGGTCTCTTTCCTGGTTCTTTTGGGTCAGTTGGTGGTAAGGCAGTCCACAACCATGAGACATATGGGGCTACATGGATATGTGCGTTCTTATAGTTTCTTTTTAATGATGCTGTTAAGGATTACTTGTCTAATGGTTTTCACTGTGCTTGGTCACTCTATAGCAAGATGATGGAAGAAAAGAGGTTGTTGAAGTGTGCTGGCTGCTGTGCAGGAGGGGATGCTGCTCTGAGCAGCGAAGCAGCTGCGTGAGGCATGGGTCCCATGGCACAGACATGGGCTCTGCTCTGCAGTTTGGATGCCTTGGGGCAATGGAGTATGAGATGTCCCCAGGCTGCAGCATGAGATGTCCTAGCTCCCAACCTGGGAGTGCTCATGAGCAAGCCAAAAGGGTAAGGTAGCTCTGGCCAGAGGACTGAAAGTGGTCACATATTTATAGTGCAATGCAGATGGCCAGCTGTGCATCTGGAGAGAACTGTGTATTCAACTGTGACCATGTTCCTGTGACCTGTGTGAGCTGCTGGGTTCAAATATGAAGGGAGTTTTTAAGTAGTTACCCACAGAACTGACTTGGGATGGTGGCGTTGCTGTGAGTTCTCGCTGCAGAAATAACCTCATCACATCCATGGTATTTTTGCACGTGCTCCAGAGGTTGGCGGTGCAGGTTTTGGCTTCAATACTGCTTTGTGCAACCCCATCCTCTCTCCCATCGCTGGCTGCTCATGCCCTTTGCATGCCACAGGCCACCCTGGCCACATGCTGTGTGGCAGACCCTGCTGCACGCTGCCGAGTTAAAAAAAAATCCTCTAGAAAAAAACGGGTTGTTTTTAACCCAGCTCAGTTCCTTTTTTCAGCCCCCCGTGTGGCCTCACGAGCAGTTGGGCGAGCGCGGGCCGGGGAGGCCTGGTGTCCGCAGCGCTGCCGGAGCAGCAGGGCCGCGGCCCAGAGCCAGACCTCGGAGCTCAGCGCCGCTTCCAAAACCGCTCGCCCAGCTCTGGCCAGGGCTGGTGTCAGCGTCGGGGAGGTGCCAGGCGCTGTGAAGGGACCTCTGGGTGCCAAGGGAGGTCCCTCACGGGGGAAGGGAAGCCCGGGCCATCAGGCTGCACATGCAGCTCTGCGCGGCTGCGAAGGACTGTGCGGCTCCTGGGGCTTAATGATATATAGAAAACACGGGTCCTTCCACCTTGTTGAGGGGAAATGAGATTGGAATTTTCTACTGCTGAGGCACAGAAGAAAATGTTCACCTGTGGTGAATCCTCAGAGTGTATTTAAGTTGCACTTTGTTTCACTGCGCACTTAAAATTTAAAAGAATATTAATCATATTGAATACCTCAATGGAAGGTAATGAACCCTTTGGCTTTGGTTTTAGTTTTTTTTCCTATATATCATGAGATAGCCATGTAAAATGCCATCCATGAATCCATCCATGCCTCTGAAATCTTACAGCCTTCCCTGCTGGAGCGCCCAGAGTGAATTCCTTCTGAATCATAGTGAGGATGCTCAGTCTGCAGGCAAGGAGTCAGCCCGGCATTTTGGTGGCTTTTGAATCACAATAATATGTTGCTACATAAATATCATGATATGCTGAGCAGTAATGGAGGCAGGTCCCAGGCTGCATCAAAAAGAACCAAAGATGTTTAAGAAACGCATGTTTTTCTGAGCAGCAGTTACTTCTGATAGGGTTGCATTCTGAACAATCCTGTAGCTACAGCATGCAGCAGTTTTACAAAATTGTTTACAGCAAGAGCAAAGTAGAATAAAAACTTGGAGGAATAATGCTAGAACTAGACCCAAATGAAGGCAGTAAAGAGAAATTCTGTTTCAGCTGAGAGTTTATGCTTATTCAAATTTAACCTGCTGTTTGAAAACTAATCATGGTCAGCTTGCAGGCTGGATGCCTTTCAGATGACGAGCCCCAGTGAGAAATGTGTTTCCTTCCAGTGTGTTTATACATTGGGTGATTGACCTTGAACTGTGACAATTCTAGACATTTTTAACCTTCATTGACGCTTTATTGACCTCTAGATCACTATTTCTGTAACCCTTGAACTCATATTACTAAGTATTAAAGTTATTTACAGCAAATACTACCAGTGATAACTCACATGTAGTTCACAATGACCATCTTTTTCATATTGTGTTATAGTCTTTTTGCTTTGCTTTTCAAATCATCTTGATGTTAGCATGGTGCCTATAGGCAATGTTCTCTCCAAAGTCATTATGATGCGTTCACATTTCTGTATTGCTACTGAACTCTGTTTGTCTAATTGCATGAATTAATATCTTTCAGCACCCTCAGATACAGAAGGAGTCACAATATACCAAATACTTATGCTGTGATGATCAAGCAACTCTGCATCGGTGGGTAACAGGTATAAGAATCGCCAAGGTGAGATTTTAAAAGTAAACTTGTTTAAATCTATTTTTTATGAAACTGTGAGGTCCTGCCTCCCTCAGATAATCTCCTAGCTGGAGATATGATTGTGCTAAGAATGGATATTTATACCGATGAAGAGAATAAGGCCATGACTGACCTTTATATTTACTAGATGCTCCTGTACACCCAGTTATGAGCGTGTTTTTCCCATTAACACGTAAGAGTGATTTTTGTAGTTAGAAAATTAACACACCATAATGTGGCATTATGATGCTGTGGCTAAAGATGGGCAGGTTCTGGTCAATCCACCTGTGACATTTCTAAGACATTTCTACCCCAATTATCTGCCACAGCCTCTTCAAAAAGATCCCAATGCACAGCCCATTTTATTTAGTATAAACCACTAAGGGAGATGAGTTTATACCTATATACAATCTGCTGTTGCTAGATATATATTCTTTTATACCAGTTCTGCTTCAATGCAAGACCCAACAAAGTTGTGGGGGGACAGCAAAGTATTTCATGTTTTAGAGCTTTTTGCTCTAGAGGCCAGGACTCAACATCCAGGTCCCCAGCCTGAAAATGTAATACTTGGAAAGCACTGGAAAAAGGATATTTATTGAGCATGGTTGGTTTTAAAGCCATGTTTCAAGATGTTTACAGATACTGAAATGAACATACCATGTGAAAGTGATATCAGGAGGACTGCATTTGACCATAGGGATTAATGGGTTTTTTTTTTTTTGTGCTGGTGTGGAGATGCTTTGCACCTGGTCCTACAGAGAGACAGCAACAACACTTCTAGACATGGCTACTTTTTAACAAAGCTGGGCAGGAAGAAGAGGGTCAGAAAGGTTGTCTGAGAGCAGAAGGAATGCTTGGCCTATCTTAAGCTTGACACCAAGTTGTATTGTTTTGATTGCATTGCAGTATGGCAAGACACTATATGATAACTACAAAAGTGCAGTGAAGAGAGCTGGCATCGGCCCTCGGTGGGCAAATCCAGGGACGATGGAACCAGCGGTGTCCACAGGATCCTTACCAACAGGTACCAATGCTGGCAGAACAGTTGAAACCACGGATTAAATACACTGGACTACGTGCAGGCATAAAACAAAGGAGAACAAAACTGTTATTCACAGTTTTGGTTAACAGCACAAAAACGTAACCCTCTTTTCCCTCCCTCTTCTTTGTTTTGGTCACAGATTCTGTTCAGGCAAATGGACGGATTCCCCAAATTGTTCCTCCTTCCAGTGCAGAGTTTTCAGAGGAGAAGAAAGAGGATACATCAGAAGTACAGGTCAGCAGATACCCATGGTGAACCAGTTCTATTTCACTAAGGAACCATTTCCTCAGGCTTGTTGTTCTTTATCACCATCTTCTCCCTCCAAGTGCTGTGCTGAGGATTTGGCCCCTGCGGAGTGGCTGGCTCCCTGCACCTTCTCCTTCCTCGTGCTCTACACGCTGCAGCACAGGGTGCATGAGGGCACAGCAGCTGCTGCTCCCCTCCTTCAGAGCGAGCAGCTGGGAGTCTGTGTAGCAGCAGCAGGGGAATGTTGCCTGAGACAGGCTCAAAGGGTCTTCGCTGCCAGAACCTTGGTGCCATTTTCAGTCTTTACCAGAAAACATAACATAAAAGCTTCAGCACCAGTTTTTAGCAGGAAACACTGTATATGTCTGAAGATGCATGTAAGAGGGAGGAAGTGTAGAAGGACAAACACTACACGTCTTCATTACAGTATCATTTTAAATTTCATTTACAGAAGGAGTAGATGCACTCCTAAATTATGCTCCAAATGTTGCCCACTTGCTCCCTCTCCAACTTAAAATTTATCAGAAGATACAGTGTGAGGACTTCAAAAACATACACATGTACTACAGAAAGAAAAAAGTCTTTATTTGTAGTTGGTTATTCATTTGTATCCCTCCATCTTGCATAAAGATCAGGACAGGACAAGCAAAATCACAAAGTCCTAGGATTTTTCTGTCACTTCCATAATGTGTCCTACATGTCTCGTTTGTATCCTTTAATTCCTTCTTTAAAACATTCTTTACTCTGAACTGTACTCTTGAATACATTGTGTTCTCAGAATTCAGGCAGCAATTTCCTCTTCATTTAGTCTAATTTATTTGCTTCTTTCTAGACAAGGAGAGAGACAGCAAGAAAAGGCAAGTGGGCTGTATATAGCCTATTCCTGAATTAGTCAATAGTGCCGACCACAGGGTTGCAGAGCGCTTTTCTCTAGCGGAAGCCAACATGTTGCCTTCTCTGGTCGCGCTTTCTGCGAGCCTGGGACCAAAGGATGCAGTTGAAGTCTTTCAGGGTACACTGTGTTACAGCTGGAGCACTAAGCGAGGTTTAAGTTGATTGATAAAATAGCATAAATAGAACTGAATGTAGTACACGAGAGGAGACTTCTGCACAGATTTACAAGAACAGATGTAAAAGCAGAAAGTGCATGTTAGTTTGCATGATTTCATGGAAATTGTGAGCAGCTACCAGCTGCCATCTGAAAATATGGAGAGAAAATTATTCTCCGAGATTGCCAAATGGGCTATATTTATCTTCAGAGTACTGACTAGCAAACACAACTCAAAAGATAAGCCACCTAAATGCTGCTGGATGTTTTAACTCATTGCTGGACTAGAGAGAGTGATCAGAGGATTTAATGTCTACTACTCTGGCAAATGTGGCTAGAACTTAATGGCTTCAGGGCTTTTTTTTTTTTTGTCATTTGTTGTTCCAAAAGTGGAGGAGAGTGTGTGGGGACAGTAAATCTAGACATACTCGCTGTAATATCCCGAATTGTTTCACCTTCTCCCCATCTCATAACTGTTGTGACTAATAACCAGTTTGGCAGAGATCAGCGAGTTCCTAATCATTTTGCTTTTATCCAGATACCCAGCAGGCGCAGCTAGAGAGGGAGATAGGGATATAGTGGGGAAGACTGCCAAAAGTTACAACTGTTTTTTATGTCCCCCATACATAGTTCACCTTTCTTATATTGTCACATAACTTGGGCAGGGACAGTAGTGTCTGGATGCACTGACTGTCTTGTCCTTTTATTCCTTCTGTTTGATAAAGGCCAGGCCAAATGGTGTCAACGCAGCTGGCCTTGCACAACCGGTGCTGAGGCCACAGAAACAGCAGAGTAGGAAGGGCTCTCTGCAGCCTCCTCCTCCACCTGAACGGCGCTCATCTGCTATCACTGCTTCACCAGTTCTGCCCCCCAAAGTCAAACGAGACAGCGGCATCTTCCTAACAGATCCAGACAGCTTTCCAGCACCACCACCTTCACTGAAGATGGATTTGCCACAACCACCACCTTCACTGAAGATGGATTTGCCACCACCACCACCTGAGTTCTGTGAACCTCCTCCTGATTTTGTGCCTCCACCACCACCCTCTACCAGCAGCAGTAACGGAGATTTGCCCCTGCCGCCGCCACCTCCACCTGCCTCCAGTAAGGTGCCACCTGTGACAAAGAAACCTGTGCCACTTCCTCCAAAAAGGCAAGAAAATGCAGGACAAGATGGAGCAGCACAGGCAGCTGGGCCACCTCCAATTGGGGGTGGAGGCAAACAGGTAGATTTCATGTCTGACCTAATGAAAGCTCTTGAGAAGAAAAGGGGTAGCAGCTCCTGAACTCTGAGAGCAGATGGACTTGAAGACATAACTGTTGGTGTTTGGTGTCATGGAAGGTGGTGGGGGACGAGGCCCACCAGGAGGAAGTCTCTCCAGAGCCTCCTGTGCTCAGCCCCTACCTTGTCCCTCCAGCCTGCTCCTTCCCTAGCCATTACTACCACTGCAGCACCAGGCCCAGGTAAGGAGTTGGGGATGGGCTCTCGCTGCCCTCCAGCAGGATGGGTTGAGGCAGCAGCACTTACAGCACCAGACAGCAAGTCAAGAGCACCTTCTTGTGAGTCTCACCTTGCCTTGTGGGAACTGGAGCCAAAGGAAAGTCTCTTCTCCCAGAATTTCCCTCAAATATTCTTTTTTTTTTAATCAGAGAAGACCAGGTTATTTTATGTTTTAATCAAAATACTTGTTTTCCCCCAACAACAAGTCTGTCGTAAAAAGAAACGTCCAAGGCAGATTACCTTGAGAGGAAAGGCATGACAAGGGCCATTCCTGAAGAGTATCACCCCAGATGTTATACACCACTGTTTCCATACACAGCTCCAATCACACTGTCAGCATTCGCCCTTGCTCCATGAAATATCATTTATTTGGATAATTTTAGATCAAGACAAATTGTTCTATGCTTCCCCTGGTAAACAGGGTGGGGTTTTTTGTTTCTTTTGCCTGTTGGTTAATATTTGTCTTCAAGCTGTACCTAGAAATAGTCTGTTTCCATAAAGACTTCATAATTATCTTGTATCTGGTAAGAACATCTCCTCCTACATACTTTTTTTTTCAACTGTTCTCCATTTTAATTCTCCATTATTATTACTTCTCAAATAAAAATATCTTCTATTTCATATCTGCACAAAGTGTCACAGTTAATGAACACGCATTTTACTGGAAGTTCAAATATTTTAAAAACTTTTTGCCTGCATCTGTAGTTTGCCTGTTTTTAATTTCTTTTATCCCTGTCTCATGCACATGATCTTCTATGATACCATAAATAACATATCGTTGCTTTCAAATTTTGGTATTTAGCCATAGAAACGTATGAAAGTTGAGAGCTACTTGCATCCCTTGCCTCCAAACTTCAAGGAAAAATGCCTCATGTCCTAGTAAGTCTCACATTATTGCCAAAGAAATCACTTTCTGATTTTGGGTATTTCTTCGCTTCTGGCCGAACCTGCATAATTTGGAAGATGCAGGAATCTCACAAACTATCTAAGATGAGAGGAAATGGCCTCAAGTTGCAAGGTTAGATATTAGGAAAAAAATCTACATGGAAAGAGGGGTGAAGCAGTGGAACAGGCTGCCCAAGGTAGTGTTGGAGTCACCATCCGTGGCAGTGGTCAAGAAACGTGTAGATGAGGTGCTTAGGGACATGGCTTAACAGGCATGGTGGGGGTGGGTTTACGGTTGAACTTTGATGATCTTGAAGGTCTTTTCCAACCATAATGATTCTATGATTCTATCTGGTATTTGTCCTTATCAGTTCCTGCGACCAATAGATCAGGGCTCCTCATGGGGGGAATAGGAAGGATCCTTCCAGCTGGGGTGTGCTTTATGCTTGGAAACGTGAGACGTTTCTCCAGGCCAGGCAGTGCCCTGCCCAACACGTCTGCCCAGAAGGGGCTGCATCTCGGCCACGTTTGCTGGAGATGCTTGTGCATGGCAAAGCCTCAGCAGCAGAGCACGCTGCCGCCCCGTGAGCCGCCCAAATACTTCATATCCTTTGGAGCAGGAGTTTCAGCAGCCCTCAATGCTGAGACACAGCCATAAAAAGCAAGGTGTGCTAAATCAAGAAATAAAAGCAGCTGATGGACCAGAAGGTCTGTTTGTCAAAGTGGTAGCAGTGCATACGTGGAGGTGACAGGCAGGGGAATGACAAGAAGCTGATGACGGTGCCAAGACCTGGGAAAGTCTGGAGTCATCTCTAATTCTGTTTTTGCCCTAGGGTTACTTTTTAATACCACGCAACTGTGTAAAGAGTTTTTTTTTTTTCCATACATGATTATTTCCATACATGAAATGCTAAAGAACTGGGTATCATTTTGGGAAGAGTTGTTATGCACACGCCTCTGACACACCTAAGTGACAAAGCTATCTGCTATCCAACCATCATTGTATCAAAGAGACTTTCTTTTATGAAATATATCCCCAACATCAAAATAAAGCAGTAGTCTTTACAAAAATGTTGCACAATAAACTAGTTTGAGTTCACAAAGTTTTACAGTCTTCTTAGCATTCACTCTTCTCAGTGTCTGCCTCCTGCCCCATTTCTTCCCTTTTCTTTGCTATAGCATTTTTCTTCTTTTTTTGTACATTTGTAGGCAGTTATAACTCATATACATAACAGTGTTACAGAAAATAAAAAGTTGAGATCTCTTCAAAATAATCAAAGCCCACAGAAAACTCCAGAGATCAGTTAAGATACTGAGAAGATTAGACATACTTAGGTACATACTTGCATTGAAATTCTGAAAATGTTCAAGTGTTCAAAAGTTCCTTTCAAAGAACAGAACAGAATTACCATCTTGAGGACACACAATTATCTGGCATTATTCATTAGGTAAAAAATGACAGTGCAAAATATTAAAAAAGTGCTCTCCAAGAGTATGCTTTATAGAACAGAAAATTTAAATCAAAACATTTGTAAAAAAATAAAAATTAGTCCCTCCTCCTCCTATCTAAACTATTGCTATATGAAATTGCCTTATTCCAGTAGAACTAGGTAATATTCAAAGCAGGAAAATTTTAGCATGAGATCAGAAATAACAGCATGTTATTTTTAACCTTTTTCCATATCTCCAACAGAAACAGTCTGTGATTTAACCCCAAAGGAACTTGTTTTAGTTGCTTAAAATTTGGTCGGGATCTTCATAAAACTGTGTTTAAATATATATGCAATGTATCTCACATAATACCTTACTTAGATGTGAACAATTGTGTATCAGGAGTTCCTGAATAACTGTGCTGATTACAGTCACCAAAGACATTCAAATCTTTTTATTGGTCTCTGACAAAAATTTCTATTATTCCTATTATTTCTATCGAATTTCTATTATTAGAGAACTGTTTTTCCTACTAATGATATTTCTAGAAATAGCTTTGTGAAATGTTAATTATGTCACTGAAGAGCCTCTGTTTCAGAGTCAAGTGGCACTCAAGGACCTTGGAACAATCCATTTTGGACTTGAGAAGAATCAAGGTAATGTCAAGAACTAACAGAACCCTCAAATAAGTGAATTTTGCTGGAAACCTTCTAGCGTAACATTGCACCTGACTGATCACTTATCAATTTGGCTTAATTACAGACTGCTTTTTGTGATGTGTTACCTGAGTGTCAAACAAGAATGAACAGGACCCAATTCACAAAACAAAGACCATCTCTCCCCATTGCTATCCAAAAGACATAGCTACATAGCTACATGTAACAGCTGCAGCTGAAATTAAATATTTTCCCAACACTGGTTTTCTCTTACAGCATCATATGGCTGGATATGAAAGACACATCCACCGGAATATGTAAATAATGAGATACTCTCTTGAAAGTCCTTTTCCATGTCCAAACAGTGGAAATTTCCTGGCTCATTATATCTGTGCACCATCAATCTCGGCAATGTTATCAAAAGATAAACTTTCAAAGAGAAGTGAGCCAGGCTGGACAGACATCTGACTGGCAAAGAGCACTTGAAGTTATTCTTGGACCAGTCATTCCTGAGACAGACAAACTCACTCACTATTTAATTCAATGTTCTTTAAACTTTTCCTTGGGAGTTTAATGGAACGCAGCAAGGGCAGAGAGAAAAATATGCAGCAGAATCTAAGTGCAAGATCATCCCTATTCCAACTCAGCAGAAGACTTTGGAATATTTATATTTTCAGAACACAAATATATTTGTGTGAAATTTATTTGGAGAGTGTGTCACAACATGTGAAAACATTCATCAAAATCCTGTAAAATTAAAACTTGCAAACTTGCATATATGGATTTTAAATTGACCAGCCAATAAAACTCACAGAGATCCAACCAGTAAAACCTGATTTCTGAGACAGTAATTGTGATAGTTTGACAGCATTGCTTTATTGAGATTCAAATGATTGTACAGATGAAGAATTATAAACAGAATATTAATTACTAATGCAATCATACACAGTAGTCCATTTCCTTATTTTTTATAAAGTTCATTTAGAGAGTAACAGCTTCCAGTCCACAAAGAAAAAGGAGAAACGTTCCTGTGAGTTGATTCCTTAATCCCGTTTGAAGACCTGAGCTCTGACCCTGATCTTTTCTCCTCCTTGTTCAACTCAGGATGAGCAACTTACTTTAAGATCTCTGGCCCAGCCTGGTGGACGTAGAGAATAACCCACCTTCTCTGCAGCCTGTTGTCTATGAAAGGGGTGTTGTAAAACCTGCTGCAGGAGGTGAACCTGGAAACAATTTAAAAGGGTAAATTTTTATACAAGATATTTTCCTCTAAATAAGAAAAAGTCTCTACCACATCATACAAAGCACTCTCCTGGCAATTATTCCATTAATTGCTTACTATTACTAGTGCTATCAGTTTTGTAACCAATACATATTGTAACTGAGGGCTTTAACAATCCTATTAATATGACTAATGGTTATTGGTGTTATATAGTACACTCTTGCTTAAATTGTAGTATGGGTTTCAAGTGCACACAACATTTAAAAATATGTATATAAATATGCCAAGAAAGAAATAGCCAATTTTACCTCTGAAAAATCATTCAAATTTGCTTTTTGTATTGCTGATTCTGCCATCCAATTCCTAAGCACATACCTAGGATTAACAGCTGAAACAAAAATAAATCATATTAAATTCAGTTACACAAGTTCAATAAAAGTAAAAAGCAGTACACAAGTTAGTGAAACCTCTAGAAAATTTTAATTTACAGTTCAGAAAAATATTGAAAAGTAAAAAGAATGCATCTATTCATTTTTATACAGATCTTTTTTAACTTGCACAAGTACCAGTGACAGAAATCATTGCTTATGTCTAATATGGAGAGAAAAAAAAAAAATCAAAATGTATATTTCAGCAGACTTTTCAAAAACAATTAGTTTACTAAGGCTAATTT